TCTGCCTCTGCCATTCACAGGAAGGTGGGAAATAATGCACTGGGAACCACTGACTTCAAGAATACATCATCATAGGGGAGGGTATAGCTCCATGGTAGAGTGCACACTTAGCATGCACGAGGTCCTGCGTTCAATCCCCAGCACCTCCATTAAAATAAATAAGTAAATAAATAAGCCTAATTACCTCTCCCCCCAAAACCAAGCCAGACCAAAAAAAATATCACCATAATGTGTAGACAAAATGTGGTCTTTTCTTACAATGGAATATTATTCAGCCATAAAAAGGAATGAAATTCTGATACATGCTATATCATGGATGAACCTTGAAAACATTATGGTAAGTTAAAGAAGACAGACACAAAAGGACAAATATTGTATGAGACCACTTATAGGAAATATCTGATATAGGCAAATACATTGAGACAGAAAGTAGATTAGAGGTTCCAGGGGCTGGGAATGGGAAGAATGAGGGGTTATTGCTTAATGATTACAGAGTTTCTGTTTCGGGAGATGAGAAAGTTCTGAAAACAGTGTTGATAGTTTTGCAACACTGCAGGAGTAATTAATACCACTGAATTGTATACTTAAAATGGTTTAAATGGCAATTTTTATGTTATATATATTTTACTACAACTTAAAAAATTAATGATGTAATATACTCAAAACCATTGAATTGTACAATTTAAAGGGTGAGTTGTATGGTATGTGAATTATATCTTGATAAAACTGTTTTTTTAAAAATACATCTCTGTGGTTGCAATTTAGCAATTTGGAAGCTACCATCATTGCCACTTGCAACTGCCTCTCAATAAAAGTTGATGACACTGGTGACTGAAGACAGTAACATTTTTGCAGGAAATCCCAATGTCTCCACACTGTGCTTGCTAGAAATCACTGCAGCACAACAGAAAGATGACCTCCACCCACTCCCCCCACCCATATCTCATGTTTCCAATTGATAGAATCTCATTGCCATGCAGAAATCTAGCTGCAAGGGAGTCTGGAAAACATAGTTTTTAGCCTTGCTATCTCTGTAGTGTAGGAATTCACACTAGGAAGTTGGGATAGTGCTGAGAGTCAACTCATCATCTTTCAGTTTTTCTTACATAGGATTTTTTCCCCTCTTCTACTGGTAAGAGTTCCATATCCACCCCCTCACCCCATTTCTATCCAGTGTAGGTTAGATGAGGCTAACTCCACTTTCTGGCTTCAGAGGGGTAATCTATGAGCAAGGTCTGGTCAAGCCACTTAATCAGTTCCTCTGAACCCATGATTGGCTCAAGAATGTGCACATGACTTGGAATGGACCAATGAGAGTCATTATTTTGCAAGCTCTCTTTTTGCTAAAGATGCTGAGCTTGGAAGATGAAAGCTTCTGGAAAATATCTTCTTCACCTCCTGGCTATAGAGATCCCTTGCAGAGACTATTAGAAGTGATAAATGGAAAGAGACAGAATTCTGATGACATAACAGAACCTCTGGATCCAGCCATGCCTAAATTTTATTACCTCTGGATTTTTCCTTCAGTTATGTAAGCTAACAGATACTCTTTTCTGCTTAAGACAGAATTAATCAAGTTGACTTTCTGCCACTTGCTATCAAAGGAGCCCTGAATAATATATGGAGGGATTAGCAAGAGTAAAGGGATGGGTAGACATGCATGGCCTAGACTCAGTTACTCATTAAATTCTTCTTGATCATCTTCTCCATTTTGAGCCCTGTGCAGTGTATGGGAAAACAAAGGCATGTACTGCTTCTTTCTCTGGCTGGACAAATTGAAGGGTCACAGGTGAGTAAAGCCAATGGCTGCCCAAGCACCAATGAGAAAAACCCAATGGCCAGCTGGCGAGAGTTGGTAAGGATCCAATGCCCTTCTACCTTGCCTCCACACATTGTGGAGAGCAGACTATCCAATGCCAGACCCTAAGTCACCTGGTCCATCAGTTTTGTTGCACAAGATCCTTGAGAAGCTGATCTCTCTTCAATAATGGTGCACAATTCTGACCACTACACTAATCACAGAGGAAGGCAGACATCATGCTCATCATAGCCTTGACCATGGTGCTGATCTTGAAGCTGATAACAGTACAACCAGGACACTGAGTATGACTCTGACCACAGTATGACCTGACTATGATTTTGACCATAGCATGACCAAGTCACTGTCCAAAGCTAGTTCAGGACACTGACCACAGCATGACCAGGACAGTGATTGTAACTCTGAGCACAACACAGCCAGGAAGCTGACCACTACACTGACCATAGCACAATCGATAATGACCAGTGGAGACCACAGTACTGACCATAATGCTGACCCCAGTAAACCAGGATGCTGACAGCAGCACAGATCACAGTTCAATAGGACACTGACTAGAGCATGATCAGGACACTGAATTTGCCACTGACCACAGCTGTGACTATGTCCACAACATTGAATGTATTGGCCAGGGTCCAGTCAGAAAAACAAAGTTACACCAGATAGTTCAACAGCAAGAATTTAATATGGGGAGTCACAGAGGTGTTAGTGAAACTTTAAGAGTAAATAAGAAAAAGCAAATCCATTCTAGAGTAGCAAGTCACCATCTTCTAAGGGCTGAAGCAGCAAAGGGAGGAGGTGGTTACCAGAGTCCAGGGACTGTGGCCACCTGGCAGGACCTAAATGAACCATGGTGGAGACTCCCAGTGGATGTGAGACCATAGAGGGAACACGATAGCCACTGCCAGAAACATGCAAACTAGAGAGAGAGGGAGAAATATTATGGCTTCTTTTTTCTCCAGTTCTCCAATCTCTTGCCAGTTCTCCCATCTCTTGCCAGTTCTCCCATCTCTTGCCAGTTCTCCCATTGGCTGAGCCTAGTCTGGGAAGTGCAGTTTGCAGGGATCATGGGTACCTGGGAAATGTAGTTTGCAGGGACCATCTCTCCTGATACAGAGCGGAGCAGGGGAAGAATAAGGAATGGACCTAAGGGCATATTGACCAATGCCAACCACACAACACAGGCCATAGCTTAACCATAACAATGACCCCCTGCATGACCAAAGTCCAAGGTGGCCATTGCTCATGGTCCTGAAACACAGCACTAACAAGGGTACCACTCTGTAGGAAAGGCAAAAGCAGCACTAACAAGCGTACCACTCCCCAACCCGAGTGTTGACCGCAGCCTCACTCTTGGTCAAGATGTTTTGAGTTCCAACAACCAACATCTGTCTCCTACCCTATGTCTACCATAGGCTTGGCCTACGGAATTAGCAAAGGACCATCCATCATTTGGGAAGAGGAGGCAGAGGGATGGATGAGGTGCCTTTCCTGGCCCAGGTTCTGTTTTGTGTCCCACATTCAGGGCCAGTGTCTCAACCCCGTGGTTCATTATGAAAACACCCTCTGGGGATTGAGTGCTGACTAGGTGCTCTGTTTACTCATGAGTCACAGAAGTCCCCAAGAACTCAGGATGAAACAGGTCTCCTAAAAGAAGGAAAGCTCTTTCCCTAGGGTCGTATGGCCAAGAAGTAACCGAACCAGGGTCAAACCAAGGTCCTATCAGACAAGTGCTTCCTTGTTGCTTTGACAAAACTGTCCATAGCTTGTTATCTGCCTGGCACAGTTGCAGTATTTTATGGCTGATTCCTCTATAACCTGGCTTGCTTGCTCCCTCACCCAAAAAGCCATATGAGGGCTTTGGGGAGGGAAGATGACTGAGGGGGGAGATGCAGAGAAAGGATGGAGGCAGGACAAGGACGCCCTTCATAAGCAAACAGCTTCCCGTGGAGGTGGCGCTAATATTTTGATTCTCTAGGTATCTGGTCTCTCCTCTTGGGCCATTGAAATGGGAGCAAGAGACTGTCCCAGGTGTAGCGGGAGAGGGAAGGCTTTGAACATGAAGGCCCCTGGGAATTGGGGCTGGGGGAAGTGAAGACAGGATGCCTACCAGCGGGCCATCCCCTTCGGCCTCTGGTCTTTCCGTGCCCCGCCCCCTGTATCTGTCTCTCACTTTCTGTCTCCATCTCTGCTCCCGACTCTGGTCCCAGCATTGACCCCTTCCCCCAAAGTCCAATTTCACAGACTCTGCCTCAGTTTCCCTGTTGATTCCTGAGTTCTTTAAAGAGGAAGCCTCTCAATTCTCTTCTTTGCTACCAGGCCTCCCTCCTACTACCCCCGCCCCTTGGTCCCCCCCACACTCCCATTTATAACGTAGGAAATGTCCATGGAGGGTGAAATTTACAAACACGTGACGGAACCCCCTACCCTGCACCACCACATCTCCATGACCTCCCCCATAACGGCCTGGGGGGCTGCTGGCTCACGTCCCCAGCGACCCTTCCCTGTGCCCGCTCCCCCCCACTTCCCTGCCCCCAGACCCTGCTCGGTCGGCGCCCGAAGACGAGCTGGGGGCGGGGCGGGGGCGGAGCCCGCAACAAAGACTCGGAGCGAGCGAGGGGGGCGGGGCGGGG